AAGAAACTCAGATCTCACTTAGTAATATTGAGTTCGCTGAGGGTTCAGGTGAAAACATTTAACTTCAGAGTGCACACATTCTTTTGAGTGGTTGTAAGAAATGAAAGATGGAAGTGCAAGATTGAGAAACGTCTCTACTTGCTCGACAACAGGTGCTGCAGCCGCGATGTTATCTATGCACTGCCCCAGTGTGAACTGAGGCGACTGGGGCCAAAGATAACGAGTTCAATAATCGAATGCTGTTGCTTGTGGCCTCGACAACTTGGGAATGTTTCCACATGCACGAATACTACAGCTCTGTCATATCGATATCTGTCTATTATGATATATAGGTCACTCATTCTCGATACGTTGGTTTTTACGGGGTAACATGGGATTAAGAATAGGCCTGGCTAGCTATTGGCCGCATAGTAATGTGACGTAGCAGGTTGCCATGGAAGTAGACCCATGAATGCGAAACAAACTTTCGTAATGGGCTATTGAAGCGTTTTATTCGACTTGCGCATGTATAGAATTATTGTAGATACCTGGGAACAGGAATGTAATGGACTGAAATCTTACGTAAAAGGGAAAAATGAAGTTGACACTGGTGTATAACTGAGCACACCGCCATGGAAATGTGTGGAGGATTAGAGGTTTAGATCCATTTGTCTTGACATCATCGCTTCTTGGAGGTGAGTGGTCAGCTTCATGCCTCGACCGCTTTATCCGTGGATGGGCCCCAGCGCCGGCTTCGACGGTGTAGCTACGTGAAAAAAATCACGTGAACAACCGGGAATCGAACCCCTGTTTTCCAGTCCACAGCCCAATAACAAGACTGGCTGGTCTATCCCGCTTCCTTGAAGCATATGTCATTGCGCAAATTAATGACAACAGCTGTTAGTAATTTGGTACATAAAAAATAAAATTGTAATCCGTGGCGATAAAGAATTTCATATATTCCCCCCTCAAGTACGAAATTTTAGAAAGCCCGGAGCTAAATATCAATATTTCTACGTCTAACATTACATTCTGCTCTTCCTTATAAATTAGCACGTGCAAAATGTTGATATTTTGCTTCGTCGAAGCGTTGTTTCAAAAGCATGTCCTACATATATGTGCGAACTGAAAGATAGGGAATATTTTCAGTCGCGGAGTCAACACGACGGAGGGTCAATATGCTGCGTCAATCGTCTCATTTAGGCAACAAAGCTTAATGTTACTCGTGCAGTTTGCTTGCTCGCGGTCTCAGCTGTTGTGGAATTGAAACCTTCCACTATAATCGCTTTCGGAATTCTGTATTTTATATCGCCCCTCAGCCAATCGATTCCGACCTTTGTCACATATTTAAATAGTAGTAGTATTGATTAAGCAGCAACAAATACGGGACAGTTCTTACTTGCTGACATTCCGTGATGAATATGGGCATTTATGTAAGGATTTCTTTGATTTTAATTTACGAAATTAGTTTTATTATATTTTCCGCCATCTGTATACCGGATTGCGCAAGAAACAGACTTTCTAAAAAAAAACCATGACAAAATTGAATGGATCTACGCACTTGAATGCGACTCTTGCAAGCTGTAGAAAACATACCTAAGAATGTATGCATTAAGATCTCTTCAGTCCTGTTGATTCGTTACGCAGAAAACAAATTGAATGTTACAAATGGTACCGGTATTATCGACTCGTATTTTTATATTAATCGATGTCGAATTACGCTACAAATAACGAAATAGAGGTTGCAATTATGTTGTAGCCTTACGAAATTTTGAACCCTTTAAAGCCCAGTGGGAAATATATGTACCGCAGGATTTAACATACATTAATTGCGAATTTTGTATTTATTAATACACAAATGTCTCTGTATTTGTGTGCGTGCGTGCATTACGAATTGAAAGTTAAGGTATTGCCTTTTTATAACTATAACAAGCGAATGTATAGTTTATTGCAGCAATTCGCGGCACTCCTGAAACTTTGTGGCCGCACACCGATTGCGGAACATCAAGTTAAATTTGATATACACGACGTTTCGTCAGCCGGCTGTACTTCGTTCTTCACACTACTCTCGAAACATCGTGTATATAACGTAAACAACAGACGATAGACAATTGTCAGTCATAGTATTCCTATAACAAATCTGCCATTGCTACATTCCTTCAGAGAATCTTAAAAAAAAACTATTTTTGGTGGTATAATTATTTTATATACACTTTGATTTTGGAGTTCAGTCTTGTTTCGTTTTCGGGTTCTTATACAGGCAGAATTATTGTTGCTTTTAATGTAATCGTGCGGTGTATTTACGGTTACTTTTTATGGCGCTTTGTGATACATAATATAATATATAATATATTTGGTTTAGACTATATACAGAGATCTGTGGCCGCCTAACACCAGGTTTTCACGGCCACAGTCCTTACATACGTAGCACTATTAGCACTACTGCTTACTACAACTATTCACTAATGCTACTCTACGTGACTATTCCTTAATCCCTAATACTATTTACATAACTCTTTCTTATTGTTCTCGTGCCTTCTACCCCAGTGGCAGTTCTAAATTCCTAATTTTGACCTGTCTTTTACATCTTACTTTGTACAGAAATTTTGATGACTTGAACTTTTCATGAAGTATTATTAGGGAAATCAAACCAGAGAGGACGACGTGGTTGTATAATGTGAAATTTTGGCAAGCGTTAATGAACGCCCGGGTTCTGTGAACGTTGCTGACTTTGTAAAAGGAAAACAGCTTACAGCTGTAATGTTTACGAGCGTTAAATCCAAACTGACGCCTCTACAAATGAAGTGATAACAAATCTGTCTTTCTAATGATAATAAATCACGTGAAGAACTAACTGAATGCTAATACCCATCATAATACTATTGTAATATACAATTAACACTTCAGAAGAACATTTCCTAGTTGAATTTGTTTTTGGACAATACATAATGATTTGTCATTACAGACGTGCTAGAGTACGTGAGAAACCATCGGGTGGCAGTAAGGTCGTCCATGACGACGGTCATTTGAGCTTTTCCGTTATTGTGAATATTTTAAGCTCCTTTAGGACATCATTTTGTGGTTATGCAATAATTGAACTGTTCATTAAAATTTAAGAATGTCATTGTTGAAGAAAAAAAGTCTACTTTCAGCAGCAAAACTGTGTAACTGTATTGTGATTATAAAGCGGCTTGTACTGCCTTCACAATGTTGATTACGTGAACGGTGTTTTAATTAAATATTTAAGTGATTAAGAACTGGGCTTAGCTTGGGATAATATTAAAAGAATAAAATTTACATCTTATGAGCTCTGAAATTGAGGAAGATAGGAATTTCAGCAAACGGTTAACCGAAGTAGAGATTAAAATGTTGCATAATTTAAAGTTGTATAAACGATTTTTAGATTAGTGGTAACCACTCCGGTAGCTCTCACTAACCTCATGGATCGTTCTTGTTCCAGCCACGGTGTTGGAAATACATTATTTCACTCCATGAAGATTGAGCCTGGAATAAAGTATACATATAGTCCTGTGATACGTCGGAGGCCCTCATGAAAGCCAACGTGGTGAACGAAATTGATGGACAATAAAATACATTTTCATTACTCTTGAGGAAATACCACTCGATGAGTTGTACATGTTTCTTCGTATAGGAGTGCGGATTTCGCAAAGGTTACGTGACCTCGGCTTCTGTTTTTTAATCTCGCACCCTCAGAGAGAGAGAGAGAGAGAGAGAGAGAGAGAGAGAGAGAGCTGATTGACTAGAACGTTATTTATATCCTTGCTACTTCACAAGTTGATTAGGCCACGAGGGGTGAGTTAACTATGCATAGTAAGAAACGCAAGAACTGTTCTACAAACGGATTCTTTACCCATAAATCAGATTTGCAAACAGGGGTGTGTATGATAGCCACGGAATTATCTTTAAGCGGCCAAGTGGTTCATTGTAGAGATCGTCTGGTACATACAAGTCCAAAGCGACATTACGAACGTAATTGCATCACTACTCGGTCATCTTAGCCTTCATAATAGCATCTGACAAAAGAGAGCCATAGACTAACACTTTATAGCCAGTTACATGATTCTGTGTTAAACTAGTAGTGTCCAGGGAAATTTGACAGATGTTTACATTTGTGTGTCTGTATATGTTTCCCGAAAACTTATCATAGGCCTTATCATTCCATACTAGTCCATAAATATCACATTAAACTTTATTGTCCCTATATCCAAGAATATTTGTCTCTACAATTATCATCTACGATGTTCAGTTGAAAAGATTTCCTTCTGCTTGAATACAAATAGCAATTGGGCCCGTTATTCGTCCTCAGGTTACTAGTACCATATATTTGCTGATTTCTGAATTGTATCATAATGCAGCACATACTGAGAATAGAAAGTAATTTAATATTCACACCGTTGTTTCATCTAAAAAGTTAATCTGAGTCATTTATTAGTATTTGTAAAGATGGAAGAATGTGTTAAATACAAAGTTACATTTAGAACCTTTTAATGATGGTGTTTAACGTAGGGAAATATTAAAATTAATTGTTCTTGAGAATGCATGAAATCATAGTGCAAAATCTCTTCATCTTCTAGGAAGAGGCAAGTTGTGCGTGAAAATTTAACGCAGAGCTTCCTTATAAAACAACATTTGTTATTTTTCTTATAGGCGCTAGTTGAACCTTCTCTTGAACAAAAAACACTTTACTGTCTGTGCAAAAAACATTTCTCTTAAATCAATGTCCATTACTTTTAAAGACTGACCGTGAACGTTATTGATTATCATAGGAAAACAGGGTGTGACGTAAAACTGTAAACGTTTAAGCCCAAGCTGCAGTCAGATGGTATTAGTACTATTCTACGAATAAATACTATTTCCGCTATTTGTTTGGCATCTCTTCATGTATAAATCCAAAATTCTTCTTCTTTGACCTCTTTTATTACCTTTTTTCGTAACAAACAATGTATGTTTCTGCTTATGTTGTTGTATTATCTCCGATATTTTACCAAATTCTGTTACTGCAAACTTCGCTCTTTCCACAATTTATCTTCGTTCTGTAAAAACATATTTGATTTTTAAAATTTTGAGTGTAATCTCCTAATTTTTGTATTTTTGTATTAATAATCTGAAATTAAACATGCTTCATCCTTTTCAACCACTTTCAACTACTTTCTGACTCGAGGTGGAAGGAACAGAAAATCTCAGGTCTCATGTTTTCGGGCTGCTTGGCCGCCCACCAATAAAGGCTGAAGACACTTTTTTTTCCAAAAATGTGAAAATATCACTCTTATTTTGTTACAGCGATTATCTGTTT